AGGTGGGTTTGGAATGTCTCCAGAGAAGGAGACCCCACCACCTCTCTGGACAGCCTCTGCCAGGGCTCTGCCACCCTCACAGGAAAGAAGTTCCTCCTTATGTTTAGGTGGAACTTCTTATGTTCCAGTTTGTGCCTGTTCCCTCTTTTCTTGTCACTGGGCACCACTGAAAAAAGACTGGCCCCATCCTCTTGACACCCACCCTTGAAGTATTTATAGGTGTCAATCAGATCCCCCCTCAGCCTTCTCTTCTCCAGACTAAAAAGATCCAAGTCCCTCAGCCTTTCCTTGTAAGAGAGATGCTTCAGGCCCCTCATCATCTTTGTGGTCCTCTGCTGTACCCTCTCCAGCAGTTCCCTGTCCTTCTTGAACCAGGGAGCCCAGAACTGTACACAGAGCTCTAGATGGGGCCTCATCAGGGCAGAGCAGAGGGGGAGGATGACCTCCCTCAACCTGCTGGCCACACTCTTCTTGATGCACCTCAGGATGCCGTTGGCCTTCTTGGCCACCAGGGCAGATTGCACATTCACCCAGTGTGTCCCAGTGGCGGTGTGTTGATGGTGAATGAGGGAGCACAAGGGCATCTGTCCCTCTCTGAGCCACACAGGACTCATTTATCGTTCAAGTCACTTTACTTTTCAGTACAGCCTTCAGGTTTCCTTGTCTTCTCCCAGTTCCCCTTCCCACGTTGGGAGGGGGTCATTGGGTGATAGACTAATTGTCTAAATGACAATAAATTGTTGTGGGTTGTTCAAACCATAACAGTGTGAAGTGCGACTCCTGCCAGGGGCCGGGCAGATCTGCTCCCAGCGGCAGGGTTGGTCCTGAGTGTAGGGTGCATCAGGAGGAAACACAGAAGCTGGATACGCAGTTGTGATCCAGCTGGGTCAAACATATCTGTATTTTCACACTGCGCTCAAGCCACAACTAGCTCATTGCTGTGGGTTAATATACTGAGAGAATCTTCCGTAACCAGGAGGTGGATGGAACTGCTCTCTCTGTTGCAGCATCTCCTGGACCAAATCCAGTGGAGGCACAGGGAGGTTTTTTAACATCCATAGAGCGGGCAGTGGCAGCCCTTTGGGTCTTGTGACCTCTGTTTCATAGAATGGTCTAGGTTGGGAGGGACCTTTGAGATCATCTAGTCCAACCATCAACCTAACTCTGATAAAAAAACCACCAAACATCACTAAACCATGTCTCTAAGCACTATGTCAACCCATCTTTTCAACACCTCCAGGGATGGGGCCTCAAGCCCTTCCCTGGGCAGCCCATTCCAAGGTTTAAGAACCCTTTCAATGTAAAAATTGTTCCTAATCTCCAATCTGAACCTCCCCTGGTGCAACTTGAGGCCATTTCCTCTTGTCCCATCACCTGGGACTTGGGAGAAGAGACCGACCTCCCCTGGCTACACCCCCCCCCCAGGGAGTTGGAGAGAGCCAGAAGGTCTCCCCTCAGCCTCCTTTTCTCCAGGC